CCTCATTTTGAACAAGAAACAACACATTTGGGCCCTCCGTTATTAATCATTAACATACTCAAAGAACAGGGATAGTTGTCTAGATTAAAGTGTGGACCACGTACAGTAATAAATAAAGCAGTAAGCTGATGCTGTGCTCTGAGCCATAAGGTCCTAAGCCTGGAAATTCATTTTCTCCAGGCAAATCCTGGGTATCAACTGCTAAGATGTAGTGAGTAGCCAGCTTGAGCCTGGTCTTGGTGCTGTAATAGGGGTCTGTTGCTTGTGAGCAGAGCTGGAGTTGTCGTGCATAGTTCTGGTTTAAGGAAATAATATCACTTACCACATCCTGGAGAGCTGTCATGAGTTTTTTCATGCATGTTGCAAATATGTAGGCATGATGAGAGGTCTCTAGGACGACTGAAAAGATGAGTCGTGTAGGAGGGAGTAGCAGACGTTGGTCTGTTCAGCTTAGCAAGTCACAGGCTGAGACTTTGGTTTAAAGTCGGAGGACAACTGGTACAGGAATACATGGCTATAAATTGGTCATGAACAAATTTATTCTGTAAATTGAGATGGTCCATCAGTATGAAGCTCTGGAGTTGCAGCATGCAGGAGCAATTGCTTTTGATTGTGGTCAGGTAATGAGTCAGAAGATTGTATGACATGCTGCTTGTGACACCTGAAGAGTTGATTTTGATGACCAAAATAGGCTGGTTTTATTTTTCTCCAATCTATATTAATTTTTATAAGTTTCGATAAAAAGCTTACTTTAAGTTCTCTTGCCTGGAAAGTGTGGTAGTAAGTTTTGGTGGAGAAAAATACTCTGCCTGGTGAATTGAGCATGGCTGCAGAAGAACTTGTGCAATCCCTTGACGGGCCTCCATTGCTCAGTGATCTCCAGCTTGGGTGAACTCCGAATCTGAGTTCTCTTGGGGTTCTCCATAGACCTTGATACTATACCATATTAACCACCTATTTGCTTTGCTTCCAGATATCTCAAATTTGAGAAGCCACATGCATGTCCTACAACATGTGCTGGCAAATCACTCCTCAAAATTGATGAGCTTTCCAGCATTATGGAAGATGCATGCTTTACTGAGTGATAAAATTCTTACAATAAACGTACATTACTGTTATGAGCACTTTCTTTGCGAATGTTCCCTATGCTAGATAGTCTGTCATATTTTGCTAGCAGTTAATGGCAACCTAGCACAATTCTAATGCCTCGTGATGAGCGAATTGAATTCATTTGAGCCAATAAAGCCATTGTAATTTGCATTTTCATAACCCACCCTTCAGTAACCCAAATGTGATGCTTGTATTTAGGAGAGAACTATGTAGTAAATGGATACGCATGCTTTTTAAAAGGATATTTGTCATCCCGGGAGAATTTTGGTGCCAAATCTTAATAGCATTTCCTTTAAAAAAAAAAAAAAAAAAAAAATTGAATTCGCTATCAGATTATGTGGTAGGGCTGCAGAGATTGAGTAGTCTTTTGAACTACTTTCCCGATTGCCCCTTTTCTAAAACATTGAAAATTTACTCTCCAAAATGAAATACTGAACTAATAAGTCTGTCCCCTCATGGCACACTAGAATCAGAGTATTTGCAGAGAAATTGTTTTATTCAACTTGTTCCCTTTCAGTGATAACTAATGCAACATACATTTTTACAATGTTAAAACACCTTTGCTAATTATGCCAATTGTAGAGTGTTATGCAAGCTCTTGATTTTTGTCAGTTGATGCTGAAAAAATACAGAATGAGCAGAACTTTGTTCAGCCTGTTTGTGATTTAATGAAACAAGTGCCCTAGGACCTGCTGACTCTCATTGAGCCTGCAGCATACAAAATGAGAATATTACTTAAAAGTGTTCTTGCTATGTTGTTTAAGCATCCCTCTGATAATTTCTTCTAAATAACTCCTCAATTTAAATACTGAGCAAAATCCTGAAATCAATAAAATGTTCTTATTGACTTCAGTGAAGGTAGGATTTAATCTGTCTGCAAATCCATGCAGCTCTACTGCTTATGTATTTTTCTTTCACATTGTCTCCCTTCCTAGTTATTTTTTCAGTCTAGTTTTGCAGCACCTGAAGATAGAAAAGGCTTTAAGATTCAATCTGCATAATAAAAATACTTTGTCATGTGAAATTTAACTCAGTCTTGAAAGTTCTCATTATTCTGATTGCTTTCTCAGTTTTCAGCTCTTAAGATGATAGTATTTTAAATGAAAATTTCAAGTTTTCATATGCAAAAACCCCAAATTTCTAGTTCCTTGTATTTCTAAAGAAAATCTCAGAAGCATAAGTTCTCCTATATACTTCCAAATAAATGAGTCAAAAGAATAATACTGCGCTTCCCTCCCTACACTAACACTTTAGGAAAAAAAATCTTAACTTCTAAGGAAGTAATTCATGATTTTTGACCTTTTGGGTTTATCAGTCTTATTAGAATTGAGTGTCATAACTATTTGACTCTTCTGTAGTGGACTTTTAGGTTGATTTTGCATTCAAGAATTATGTTCATGAAGTTCAAGGTAGAATGTGATCATGCGAAAAGTGTGTGATGAAGTGACTTGTGTACATTTTCAGTGTAAAATTCTTGCCTGGGCAGATGGTTTTACTGGTGTCTTCATCATTTATGCTTTTATTGGAAGTCTTGCACGAGCATGACCCTCACGCCATGAGAACAATGCTATGATGATAGAAAACTGGTCCAATCCTAATAGAATATTTGAGGTGCTAACAGTAAAAGCAAGGTGAAAGAAATCACTTCCACAGTGAGGAAGGGGCCAGTCCAAATATATTTTGTGCCCTAAGTTGGGAGGACTCAGAAGAGACTCCACAACGTTGGCACTTCTGTGCCAAAGATTCCTATAGAGAAGATTCCTACAGAGACTGGCCCTCAGCAGCAGAGAGGAGGCGGCAGAGGAACCCTAGCTTTGAAACGAGATGTTATAATATGAGGATTTTTATTATTTTTTATTAATTTTATTTTTATTTCCCACGATTCTCGGATGTGGAGGTGCTGTCCGTCCTTGCTTTCCAAGCTTTGTGCTATGAGAATTGCTTTCAGTGCAAAAGTTGATTGGTCAAGCTCATTAGCATGCCATGGCTGTTTTATTAACTTATTATTTAATTATTAACTTAATTAAAGGGGAGTGTATTTAGCCAAACTTTTGGCTATCAACCTAATTGGGAGCATAGTTCTAGTCCATTAGCTGAGCTTGCATGGCTGATACCCAGACTAGACACTTCTGTATAGCGACTGGTAATTCAGAAAGAGCAATTGCCGTGGTATTAAAAATGATTCTTCACTCTCTGTGCTGAAAAGCAGTAGCTGCAGGAAGATTTTGATTCTGCTTCAGGGGAGAGGGCATCTTTAGCATTCCTTGATTTGCTTTCTGCAGACTTCCAGGCTTATGCAGGTTTATGAGATAATTGTTTGCTCCATAAAAGTCATTCTTGCAAGAATGCTTTTTTCCTTAGTAAGTGATGGGCGAATGACCTTTTCCTACTGATTGCTTAGTGTAAGTATTTCACAGATCCAATTAAAATATGCATATAATCAGAATTCTACAAGTTTGACCCTTTAAACATTGTTTTCCACGTATTTAGTTGAATTAGTTTTTTGGATAGCTAACCCTTTTATTATATCCAAAAGTAGGAAATGTGCATGTTGCTTAAATTCAGAGCGTAGTTTGTTTTGAACAGTCCTAACCTTCAACACAAATCTCTGCTGGGCTTCTTTTGCCCTCTTTTTTTTTTTCTTCTGAGAACTTAGTTCAAGATTGTTTTTTCAAAGTGAAGGACCTCAACAGAAATTGTTTTAATGAGACAGACATCTAGTTCAATAGAAAAAGTTTCTTTGAGAAAAATAAATTACAGGAGTTGTGCTTCTAAAAGATAATTAATTAAAACCACCTACTGTGGTGGAAGATTTGACATCTTGTCTGACATCTTGTCTAACATCTTGAAAGGAAAGTATTTGGAATTGCAAAACCAGAATAAAAAGTTCTGTTTCACAGCAAGGCCAAGCCAGTGTCCTGTAATTATTTTGCTGAGAGTAGTGGTCCCTTTTTGCTTGCTGCATCCTTATTGCATGAGACTTCTGTTCCAGACTTCCACTAGTCAATGTGTGACCTATTCAGATTGCCCAGATTTCAAAGTCAGCTTATGTGGTTGGAAATCAGATCAAGCAGACACGTCGTCTTGGAGAATACTCACAACGTCAATATCTAAAGCAGTGTTTTTTTGTATTTGTAGCCCCAAGAAACAAGAGTTTTAACTTGGATGCCAAGCACCAGGAGGCCTGAACATGATTTGCCTCTTTACTTGCTGTACTAATCCTTTAAAGACTTATACCTAAATCTCAGCTTGACAGAGCAGTTCAGTGCATCTTGTTGGGGATGTTTTACTGGTGTGGGCTGGTCACAACTCTTTCGTTTGTGGTTGAATCTCAAGATGAAAGGAGGTTTCATTCTGCTATGATTGGATTTTTGTGCATGTTCTTTCAGTAGCGAAGTCAGATGATGTGTTAGATGCACAAAAATGTGTGAAAAAATAAACAGTCTTTGGAAAATGGAATTTCTGCAGTGTGAAACTTTGCTTTTGAGTAAAGTATTTGCTCTGTAACTTGGTGATGAACTTTCTGAAACTAAACTTAATTTAAGCATGAGTTTAAGCTTAGCTGGATTCACCAGTATTTTAGAAGCAATATTATGTCCTGTGTTTTCTAATGAAAAGAAAGACTAAGCATATCTTATGTGGATTGAGAACTTAATACTCAGATCTCGTATTTATAGCCTTCATATTGGCCTGTATGTATCAAAAGTGAAACTGTTACATAAGAATAAGTTAGCAACAAGGGGAAATGTTGATATGATGGATATTTTCTTTTATGAACATGGAGCATGATGTTCTGTTTATGAGCACTGAGCCTAAATCCAGTATCATTCCCAGAAGCCCCCATGATTGAATGAGTGGAAGTTGAAAGTCCATTTTGCTTGTTTCCTCAGGTTCTGCTGTTTGCATTTACAGAAGATTTGGAATGCATCCCTGGATTCCAGCAGAAGATTTTTTATATTGAACAGCCTTCGGAATTCACAGAGGACCAGCCACTTCTGAACTGTATGTTATTTTCATATATTACCCTGCAAAAATGGAATGAACTATTGCTCATGTGTTCATATCACTCCCACTATTTATCAGAAAGCTTCTCTCATTTTTTTAAGTACATAGAATTCTGAATGTGGTCCTGATTCTCTGAGCTCCCCAGCCATAATCCTTTATTTATACAGACTTTGATCTGTTTCATTTATTAGAAATGGCAAAGTACTGTGTATAAATATTCAGGACAATATGAATAGTGTGAGAATTTGGAATCATTCACTCCTTAAAAACAAGTTTCCTCTGAAAGTTTAAGTCTTATTCTCTTGGAAATCAGCGCTTGAGTATCAGCATTTCTAGTATGTTTTGACAACTCAAGTTTAAGTATAGTCTAGAAGCTTGACTGTACAGGTCCTTTTTATTCTCTCTTGCTTTCTCTGAAAATGTGGTTGTAGTGGACAGATCTGCTCGTTTTTCATTTGATTTGTTGACTGATGTAAAGGATAAGTTGGTTAAGCCTGGACTGTTGTGTGGTGACCCAGCCAATTGCAGCCGTGTGAGGCTAGCACAATAATTAAGATGCTGTCAATAAGAGGAGGAGAGCAGAGCAGGGAGAGCTTTGGAAACATCTTAAAACAGTCTTGGGAATTGAATTATTTTAATAAGCATTCACTGAATTGACCTAATATGTAATGTTCAACCAAGACAGACTGTCACTGCGTGTTTCAAGTTAATTCAATCACTTGTAAATAGTACGTCCTTCATGCGGTGCTATTAAACCTTTGCATAGTCTCTTCATTCTAGCTGTCAACAGAATTGATATTTTTAATTGTCTGTTGGAATATACTTTGCATGCTGTTGCATCTTTTTATACCCATTACCCAAGAGCAGTGTAATTTAGGAGTTGCATCACAATGTGAGGCTCACCATGGCTCTCTAAATTAATAGCGCGAATATGCAAAGCGGCTCTATAGTGGTGATTGCTTTTGTAGTCCTCAGTAAACCAAGGAACTTAATTTTTTTCTGAAATGTTGGAAAACAGCCTTTTTAATCTTTCATTTTAAACAAATGCCTACTGTAGATTTCATTGCGAGTTTCTCCCTAGTAATTAAATACAGGTTATAGTTTTTTGTAAGGTACTTGACTCTTAAATGTGACTGTTAATTATACTTCATGTTCACTGATGGAAAGAGGGAGGAGAGCTCAGATGAGGGTAAAGAATTCTTTTTTCTACCAGATCGAGGTGAAAAAGTTATTTCACTTATTTGGAAAACCCTTAGACAATTTTCAACAGATAGAATACACAGAACACAGAACTACTGCAGCTATAGAAATACTGAGAAACCTTCTAGAAGGAAAATAACACGTATTTGCATTAGAATATACACAAGGTGAAACGAAATGTAATGCAGGGAGAAGGACTTGTAGTAATGAGCTAAGTACAACTGGGAAGGATGATGCTGTTGTCCACTATTGTGAGCACCTCTCTACCTCCTTCCAGGTAGGACTTGTCTCCAGATTAGTTCCATCTCTGTGCAGATCATGCCATATGTGTTCAGCAATTACCCATAGGCAATCCAGACATCATGCTTCTGTATTGATTTGTGACCACTTCTAAAATGTCAGACTGTTGTGATCCCACTCAGAGGGGCATAATCTAGGGCTGTAGACTTATTGTCTACCCAATCCCTTTTTTCTGAGCAATTATATTGAGGAGAGATGCTTCCATGATGTTTTAGGGGAGGATTCATAGGTCTCTACTCTGAAAGTACTAGAAAGTCTGTCCTGATAATTACTATTTTATAAGACAATACCATGACTTGATATTTTTTCCTTGCACTGTTTTTATCTTGTACCTAGAGACAATATCACATAGACAAGTTTGCTATGCTGTTAAGGTGATAAGTGACAACATTTAATTATGGATTTTACACCTTCTGGAAACGTTCATAGCTGTCAAATACTTCCCCTTCAGCGAAGTTGTCTTTGCCTAGGCTGACAGGTCACTGGTAGCAATGATGCTGCAGCCTGCCAGTCTGACAAAAAGTTCCTAATCATGCCCATCAGACGGGGAAATTTAATTGTATTACATTAATCATGTTTATACTTAGAATACATGAGTCTTGGCTTTTTAGGTATTTTTAATTGACAATAAATCAAATAGTGCACTTGAAAAATGGAGGCAATTAACATAAAGGCATTAGGTGATGTGTTGTGCATACTAAACTGAGCAATACATTGCCAGTGATTTAAATGTCAAAACAAAAGTAGCTTTGACCCTTACTTGAAAAACTTTAATATGAGTGTTAATTAATGGCTGCCCTCTTCTGTCTCCTGCATGATAGATTGTGCTTGGGCTGCTTTAAGATCCGGGCTTTGTCTTTTTATATTTGGGTCCTTTTTCTTTTTGTGGATTTTAACAAACACTTTTCTGTTCAACCATATTAAAAATCTTTGTTTACCCATGTGATGGGAAATATATTAGTCCGCCTACCATTAATGCATGAAGGTAGCTTTGTTCAGCAAAGCTGTAGCTTTCAAAACTGCATCTGTTTGAACTGTATAAATTCTGCATAAGTAAAAATTGGTGAGGGTCTGCTAGTGCAGTATCACGCCTGTACATACATCATAGTGCTGATCACATTCCTCATCAAAGCATTTCCTACTGAATCTCAGGTAAATAGATGAGAGCCATGTGAGAACTGTGATTTATCAAACCTACTCTTCCCACTGATTATACCATACTGCTTGATTGTACAGATGGCCTCTTACTGTGAATGTTTCATGCTATTGATATTACTGCTGTTACACTTGACTATTTACACTGAAGGATGCACGTAGTTACCAGGTGTTTAATTCATCTCTGCCAGCTCCACCTTTCCTGCAGGTTGTGTAGAGCCAATGGGGCAGTGCAGTTCAGTACCCTGGAATGCACCAGACTCCCTCGTAAAGCAAGAATTGTACCTCAATGTTGATTCTTCATGTTCAATATTGCGGGTTGTGGGTAATTAGAAGTAAAAGTGATGGCTATAGCTTGTGAAAGGGGGCTTGTTCAAGTGAATTATGTTTTTTGGCTTAAAATAAGGCAGGGAAATCTGTCTAGGCTTGTGAAAAATAACTGAAAATTTCACTAACTGGCATCCATTTATTGTGGTACAGCACCACTGCAACGTCGTTGGGATAATTCAAAATAAAGTTGTCTTTAACAATCGGAATTTTATAAGAACCTATTTTAAAATTGTTTTTCTTTCCTGTTATTGTTGAAGAGTCGGTTTAGAAAATGTTCAAAAATGTGACTTGGTTCCTGTGCTGCACATGCTGTTTTGGGTTTTGTAGCAATAAATCTGTTAGCCTATCTACCTGGATAGTTGAATGACTTTTAAATTCCAGAGGATATCTGAATGTGCGCATACCCAGGCTTAAATCTTGAATTTCAGAGACTGTGTTCTGACCATGGAGTTGCCTGATTAAGACGATATTTACACACACACAGAAGGAGTGAGATACCTGCGTGTGTATTGCTAATGCATATTGTGACTAAGTAATATAGAATACCTCCAATGAATCTCTGAATAGATATGACAATAGATAGTGAATAGATACAAGGGTGCGATTAAAAAGGGCATGCCGAGGGAAATGTAGTGGCATATGCAGAGAGTTTCTGGGAGCATGGTTGCCTTTTTGGCAGCATTACCCCGGGTG